GATTGTGTCTTTTCTGATCGGTCGTGTCTTGTAATTCATCAAGAAAAGCTGATTTCTATTACCTGTGAGTTGATAATGTCACATACCTCTACCCCAGCAAATCTGAACCGTACATTTCGAAGGAATTGCCGATAACAATAAATCAGACATTTTTCATTTGTGTTTTGTTGTCATCCGCCATTTTTATGGTCAGTCGGATGTAATACACTGGTGTATCAACATGTCAAAATGCGTGGTGAAGGGGTAATCAAATCAGTATATTCATCATCCTTGGTCACAACAATTAGCCAAACAAGATCAAGTACTTAACTGTGTCATGAGCGACCGTCCATTTACTACCCACCTGGTCAGTGTATGAAATGTGTTCCAAAGCTCACTGGCCAGGAGGACAAAATAACAAGACTTGTTGTAAGCCCTCGTCATATTTTACAAGTCCCAAACACTTCCGATAAAATACGAAATAAGTAAGACTTGAAAACAAAATGACGCCAAAACTGACGTGATGGTTTGAAGAAATTATGATGTATCTAACTATTTGTAAAACGAAATGTTGGTTAAGTTGTGATACCAACTGAATAGCAGGTACATATCACATTTATGAAATCCAGTCAAATGGATGGGCTGGCCTACCAAACCAAACAAATTGATTCTCACACTTTCTTTAAGTTCATATAAGCTGAAATAATGTGCTTGTCAAAGGTGTCCGCAGGATCTATACCAACAGCATGAGGTAAAATCTAACACCAGCGATACTTACCTATGCTCATTACTTTTCCTTAAATGTGCTTGTATGATGTTTCAAAGTAATGCACTATGACACAATGGTGATATGAAGTGACACTGACTCACTATAGCTAGTACAACAGAGTGAGTGAGTGAGTATGTTTTTACTCCACTTTTAGCAATATTCCAGCAATATCTTATATCAAGTAAACCAGAAGTACCTTCGACGGCAAATCCAATCATTTAAGTCATTTCAAAGCAAAACGGTTTGTTTCATCAATGAAAGATAAGAACGAAGGGTGTCTGAAGAGTTCTGAACAGTTTGCATATATTTAGTACAATACTTTTCATGCTTACAGGGATGAATATGTCTCACATGCAGCACCAGTATGCATCTTTCTGTTGTTGGCAAAGAAGTGCTTTGATTTTCCATGCTGATGCAAACGAATTACATTCCGCGCTGTCATAAACTATCTCTAAATGAAAGGGCTACCTCGAACAGCAATCGACATAGTGTAAACTTCAGGGTACGATGATCCTTCCTTTGCCACTGTTAATAGGTGGGCATCGAAGAGAAAGGGGGAGCATGATTCAAGGTAAATTAGACCTTCAACTGCCACTACTGACGAAAATGTTGATAAAGTACATATATGTAATATGATTATGAATGGTTAACAACTCACCACAGGACACCACAGAAGGCATCACTCATGACATTTGTAACCATGGATGAGTCTTTGTTTCAACACCATCAGACAAAGACTAAATAAACGGTAACAGCGGTAGATATATAAAACGTCCTCCTCCTATGAGGTGAGGTGAAATGGGGTTTAACGTCGCGTCCAAGATTATTGCACTTATATAGCGACGTGCATGCACGTGTGTGTGTGTGTGTGTGTGTGTGTGTGTGTGTGTGTGTGTGTGTGTGTGTGTGTGTGTGGCTGCTTGTACTGTTCCGGAATGATGCCGATTTATAGTGCTGGCTCACTGAGATACCATGCCGCAGTTTAACATGAATACCCCACTCAGACACAGTATACTGACTCCGAGCCGACCAGTCCTTGTTTTAGCCCCTTAATGCCGAGCGCCAGACAGAGTAACAACAAGTACCATCTTTTGGTATGATGCGGCTGGGGATCGAACCCCGGACTTCCGCTCTCCGGGCGGACGCTCTATCATAAGAACACGGAGGCGGTTTTCCTCCTATGAAGGCAATTTCTGTTGCATCAGTTGACAATACTATGAAGATATGTTTCGGCAACTGTGTGAGAATATTAAGGATAACATCTTCGAAAACTCACTCATGTGACGAAAGCTTGCCATAACGTTTGACGTCGCAAATAGCTGAGCTGTCTCTAAACTCGCTTTTAGAGATGTTATGATATGAATGCCGTGATCTATGTTTACGTTTTGGCACACTTACTTTGTATTCATTATCCTTGCTCTCATTGTAAGAACACAAGGCTATTGCGTATTTTTGATAATTGATTGAAAGTTTTCATATCAAGTTTATGTCATTCGTGAACTTTTGTAAATCTCATTTCTCGATAATTTCGGAACAGGTACATGTTATTCTAGTCGGGAAATATGCTTGACATGGAATGCGAATCTTGTGTATGTACGTAATAGATTTTTATACTTTCTATATGATCAACAACAGAAAAAAAATCTGGAGCCAAAATGTGGAGTATAATAATCAGGCGGAAACTGGACTTTAATTCGTGATCAGAAGATCTTGACACGTTTGCCGAATGTACATTTATTATCTATTTAGCAATTCACTTGGGAGGGAATATTTTTGAATTTGTAACTCTGATCTGGCTTAACAATGCATTTGAACATACATATACGTAATATCAAGCTTTCAGTATCCCGACCTTCTACAATCACCTGGGACCCTCTTTCATCTTAGCACTACATTGCTGTAACTGAATTAGACCATGACATCCTTACTAATTGCAATTTATCTGAAATTAACTTCTCTGTGAAAATTCGGATTTTGACACTTTGCTTCAATCTAAAAAGGGCGGTCGGGTAGTGGTTAAAGCGTTCGCTCGTCACGCCGAAGACCCGGGTTCGATTCCCGACATAGATATAATGTGTGAAGCCCATTTCTGGTGTCCCCGCCATGATATTGCTTGAATATTACTAAAAGCGGTATAAAACCAAACTCACTCACTCAGTCTAAAAATCTCAACGACATTAAAAGAAACACAAAGGTTTGTGAAGAAAACACATATCGACTACAGTGATTTGTACAGCAATAGGTTTTTAATATAATACAACAATTACTTAAATCTAAAAAGAAATAGGCCACGCCGACGACTTGCGAGACGTGCTCTGCATTTTCAGCCCACGATATGCACAGCCTTCTTTATAAATAAAATTGATGAATGAAAACTTCTATTGATTGTATTACTTTATTTCACACACAATCATTCGATCGATTAAAATATACTTTACACACAAGAGCAAAATGAATTTTTCTCAAAAAAGAAATTTATGCCCGACTACAGTGTCTGTCGTCTAATACAGCTTTGTAATGGCCGATGAGGTAATATCTACGGCGATCATCATGAAAATGATATCATGAGTTTAGGAACTATGGATTTTAGCAGGCGCCGGGTTGTCGCCCAAATTTACGGCAGAAGCTACTCTCGAGCTTTCAAACTCGAACATGAACCACCAAAACTACAATCTCTACTCGCGCAAAGATTCAGAAAACTAACTGAAACTGATCAAAAAGATTTAGAGAACTATCGCCAATAGAAAGCAACCAAACAAAGCACCAAATGGAGGGTTAAAGCGTTCCATAGGTACTGTAACGTTTGGTCAATTTTACAATTTCCCCGTGGCTGATATAAAGTGGAAGGTCAACTCGCAATTGCAAAATATGTTCCTATATATATGTTACACCCAACCTGTGAGACTGCCCATCGAGTGCATTGAATAGATAATGACGTAGTTTGTTTTTGACCTTGTCATCTTGACCCAGCTGTCATTCGATAACACTCAACAAAACGTTTTGTGGTCCAAGGGAGATAATTTCAAGTTATATTCAATCAGGTGATCAATGGCCCAGTTCATTTGCACATCATGTTAGGGGAGTGACAGTTGTGCATAGTTTTGTTTGCGGACGAAGTAACACAAATATTGACTTATTACAAAGCATAATTTCACACGCTTATAAATCTGATTATCTCGAATATCCGACGAAACATATTCCATTTGGCGTAAAAGGCAAAATATCGATGAAAATCATGTAAACGGATCTCTGATAATCAGGTGAGCGCGAAAACAGTAAGCACGACCTGCCCTACTGGTAGCACCCGCCACTTACATGCGATGGCGGAAGGTAAACAAACCAGACGTCTAGTCACATGATAGCTTAAGTATCGAACCAATCTAGGGTCCAAACTTCACTGGGTCTAATCAGCACTCAAATCACAATATTTGCAATTTTCAAGACATGACACATATGTATGATACATGTATTCGCAAAATTGATAGAGAATACATGCTCAAGAGATATGGGCGTGTTGACAAATATCATACGGAATGACACGAGGGTAAGATTTTATCTACTGTCCCATACCATTCTGAAGCTTTAAGTTTGCAACCAATGTTATTAAGGGGAAAAACAAGTTGAAATTAATCGGCAGATAATATTACCATGCACTTTTTTAGTAGTTTGATTCAAACGTTAATAGCCTTGAAACGTTTAGAAATCCATTCACTCCCCATCATTTCGATAAGTTGACGGTTATTAAGTGATATTCAAACAATATTTTAAGTTCAATGTAGTCCAAAATATAATATCTATGTTCAAAATGTGAACATGTTAATAAACCAGTCTGTGATCAGGATGGCGATCAGGCAAACAATCAAAATTAGACAAATATAGCGAGAAATATGCAAATATTCTGTTGAAGCCAGTATTTGATCACAGAGAGAGCTCGGAAACGTTAAAGATGGCATACTTTGTCCCCAGATGAAATATGTACTGGACAATTTCAGTAAATAACTTGGAATGGTAAGTTTAAAATAAAGGAGTGACTTCTTTTTGGTTAAAGTAACTTGATTTTTTTATGTTTGTTTTGCTTACCTTATCTTGTTGATCTACTTGAATGGAGACTTCAATAAACAGAAATATTATGAACACGCTATGTTGCTGGAATATTGCCTCAATCGAATACCCCTTCCTTTTCTCTAAATATGGTAATTGTGTGCATATAGATAAGATCTCAATGATGTCGACGTACAACAGAATGTGCACAGCTGATCAACAATACTTTTTATATACATCAAATCAAGATAACATTACAATGTAGCAGTCTCAACAATAGGAACAAACTGATACTAATACTAATCCCACCTGAAAGCGTTTTCAAACAACTCTGATTTTGATATTCAAACACTTTACAGATATTCGCCCTCCTGCCATTCAACTATAAATTGATACGTTAATCTCTAGCTAAAGATTACAATGATATATTGAATTAAAACATGAACAACTATACAAAATGTGCATAGGCGTGTATTTTAACCTGGAAAAAACGTTGAGCACCCCCTGAAAAGGTCGCGCGACCTTGAATGTAATAATTATTGATAGAATCAATTTGGTAAGGACATGAACAATTCTCCATAGGTAAGTTGTGAAATCATGGAGGATATCGGGGGAGATTCACAAGTCGGATGAAATCAGGTTCTTCTTTTGTGTCACATATGAGCGTATTTGGGTCTGATGGCAAAGAAAGAAGACATACACGCCAAGGAACATTCTTCCAAAAGTACAATTTGGTGGACGATCAGTCATGATGTGGGACCGTCTGTCCCATTTCTACAAGCTGGACATGGTCACTGCACAGGGACTCTGGTTGGTGACAGGTGTCAAATCCTGTATCCGATAGTTTTACCAGATTTTGTACCCACCTTCTGGCTACCAGACCCGTGTGCATGGACGACAACGCGAGACCATACCGTTAATTAAAAAAAATACTATAACTGAGTTTCTACCGCAGAACACTGTTACGACCTCCCCCTGGACCTTCATCAGTCCAGATCTAGACACATCTTGGAAATCCTCGGGCCCATACTGAAACTGGACCCATCAGTAGCAAATCTTCAGGAATTGGCATTATTGCACCGGGAAAAGCAAACCCCGGCGGTTTTACGCGCTGTTGATAGTCTCGTCAAAGGAAGTCATGTTGGGGCCATTTTTAGCAACAACGTACCAGCTACAATTGTCTCCATACCAATTTTGGCAATAATACACACAGTGAAATGTCCACCATTATGAATACCATTTTCAAAACTTTCATGAAGGGTGCTTTAACAAGTGCTCTTTGTGAGTAAATTAACAAAGATTTAGTCTTTTAGGAAATAGAACATGTTCCAGCTTTTAATGCCATAGATTTGCCAAAGTAGCATGGGGCGCTTAACATTTTTCCAGGTATCTTTATATAATGCTGATGAGCCGTGATATAGGAGTCAACATTAATCATCAGCTTTCTACATTATTAGCTATCTTCATAAATATAGTATGCATAATAAGAGTTGTATTTAATAAGTGACATCAGGTGCTTACAGACTGATAAGAGATGTATAAATATTTTCATTGGAAATCAATTATAAAGGCTGTTAAAATGCAATAGCAGATGCATTCTCCTCCATTATTAGTTGTCGTAGTGTTGACCAAAACTCAACTCCATCACTGACATCTATTATGTGCTCCTCTGGTACAACATTCAGCAACACCAGCGGTACTCTTGCCTTCACTTGAGGGGATACGTCTTTATACAGGAGAATAATCCGTCCTGTGATATCATTGTGGGCAGAAAAGAGTCTCACAGCAGAAATAATTGTGAAGTATGTCCACTCATCTGTGAAGGTCCTTTCGGAGATGACAATGACAGCTTTCCAGCTGTCACTCAGGGCCTCGATGATAGCATCTGCCTTGGGCCATCCAAACGGCTCGTGTAGGTCAGGCAGATATAGTCTGATGTTATTCTCTCGCTCCTGTAGCCGCGAAAACAGACATAGACATGGCCATTGATACTCTGAACTCTCATAGATGATGTAAGCATCAAACATGAAATCTTTTCTCTTCGGAGGTTCAGTACTGTTGTACCCAAATGTATTCAGCAGAAAGTATTCAATTTTAGGTGAATATTTTTTTAAAAGAAAAGCTGAAATAATTGATATGATCTGTAGAAGAAATAATCCAATGGAAACTGTAAACCAACGCTGTCCTATACATTTTCTCCAGTGGTACTCATAATGTATGTTGAACAATCCAGTGCTTGATGCCAATCCTTCATTTGTCAGGCAGGAATAGTTGCCTCCATGGTCTAGATTCACTTTAGTGGTCTGTAGCCATTCTATAAAACCAAGAGAAAAGCAGGAACAAACGGATGTATTACCATTTAGGTGTAAATTGAAACCGTCTCTATTCTCAATTATATTATCAAAAGCATGCATGTCCTCAGTTGACAATGAACTTAAAGCATTAAATGATAAATCAAGATGTTTTAATCTTTGCATGCTGTATATTTCCTCAGGTATGAAAATAAAGGTGTTATCAGACAATACGAGCAATTCCAGTTTTGTGAAGCTTGTGAAAGTGTTCCTTGCTATGTGGAAAAGGCCTTGTCCGGAAAGATCAAGTATTTGGAGATGAGGAATATCCAAAAATGTCTTAGATGTAAGAAAATGCAGGCCAAAAGTAGTATAGTCAGCATATAGTTCTTCTATGCTAGATCTGATATCTGTGTTCTCAAACGTTGAAGGGTGAAATAATCCGTGAGATAAATACAACCGTCGTACATGACATAGACCTTTTACATAGCCCTGGATATATATCAAACCATTATGCGACAGGTCAAGTGTATGTAGATTTGTTGTATTCAGGAGCAAGACGTCACCATGAATATTGTTATGTCCTGCGGCATAAAGTTCAAATCTTTCCAACATAGGAGGCGTGAAAAGTGTTAGCCGCATACCCTTTCTTCTTGTTTCTGCAATAGTATCCAGTCGTTGCAATTCACCAAACTTAACAACTTGTAGATTTGTGAAAATCTGAAGTTTAAAGACGATTGCAGTATCACCGTGGATCGGATTTTCTGTTAAATCCACACTTTTCAGGCAATTGAAAAATGTTGAAGAAAACACTGCATCCGTTCGAAATATCCGTAGTCTGTTACAAGACAAATCAAGGTTGTCCACACATATCTCAGACACATATAGCATCATGGTTCTTGTTATTTCATCATTAGATCCTATACGCCACCGTGTATCCTGAATGCCGCGCAAATTGATTGTGGTCATATTCCTGCCAGAAAATGACTTTAAAGATCTCATTGCCTTCTTTAACGTTAATCGCCCGTTAAAGTCGTTCGTGAGTAAAAGGGAGTTCAATTGTGAAAGTGGAGAAAATATATTTTCGTCCAAATAATCAATTTCGGCAGAAAACACTAAATTTGTAAGGGGTGTGCTTTTCAGTGTCAAAAAGGTAGAATTGGATAACATCCCACCATACCAGTCGTCAGTATTTAGCAAACTTAACGATTTCAAACTCTTTAAATGTTGAAAGAAAAGTGATTGATTTGGATTAGGCCAGTAGCTGAGTTGTAGGTGTTTTAGGTTAACTAAATGTTCAAAAGTATTGGATGGAAATTTTCCATAACTGTATTCTTTCATTACTGGTCTCAACATAAGGACTTGTAGATCCCACAAGTGTCCAAATATACCGTCAGGGTAGGTTTCTGTGTTCACATGTAAGTAGTTGTTACTTATATCCAAAGATGATAAATTCCACAATCCATTAAACGCTCTTGGTTCAAGTTTTGAAATTCGATTTGAAGACAAATTTAATACAGTTAAACAACTGTAAAGAGAGAATGTATTGTCTTTCAGTTCAGTGAGGTAATTGCTCTCGAGATTAAGCGACTCAGTGTTTCTTGGGAGGTGCAGTGGAACCGTGTTTAGTTGTCGCTTGCTACAGTCAGCCAGGGTTCTGCCTGAAGCATCATGATAAACCTCACATGTTGCATGTGCTTTGCAGGCGTGATTAAAGACCAGAAGTGAGAACACAAACATCGTGTTTGCTTTCCCCATAATGTCGAAGTTATTCCTTCTGGAACAAAACAAATAAAAGGTCAATATATATTAAACATATATAATTAAGTGAACATTTGTATTTCAAAGATGTGTGTCAAGTTACTAGAACTGATGCGTTTCAGTGCATTTGTCTCCGTATTTTACCTTATATTACTCATATTGACGTGACAAGTGTCAAACAAGTTAAAACATAAGAGATTCATACTATACTTCGCTACACAGAATAACATTGGGACGATGCATACATTCCCAGATTTGGAAGTTTCATGTGACTTTTAAAAAAAAATTATATTTGCCTTCTTAGAAACAGGGTATTAAACCCAGTCTTGGCTCAACAACACATAGCATAAATATGCTTATGGCGATGGTTTAATACAAAAGTACAATTACTGATTTTCTGTTTTCTAGAAACTAAATCATTTTCTAATATTTTCGTCATGTCCGTATGCTTGCCATAAAATATCTGCATATCAATATTCAGTGGAATAGGTTCTTGTTTCAATGAAAACTGAGGGTGTTGATGTTGTATGCCGCTACACTAGTCCCAGATATATAAATGTACGTTATGACAACATATAAATATTTATATCATACCCGATCCCAATTGGAATTGGTTCGAATAGGCATTGTATATTCGGAACATGTGTACTGACCTGGAATCTCTACGAGTCATGTAATATATTAATTTATTCACTTGATTTGTAAGGATCCCTGTTGCCGAATGTATGAATGACGAAGGTAATACATGTACACTCACCAACGTCACCCATAAGAATCTAAGACACTGTCCCCATTGCTATGTACTTAGACACAGCCACGATATGACAACTGAAGGGGACATTAACTGCTTATGTCTTACATCCGCTAATAACGTTGAATACGCATTATGGTTTAATCAATGTATCTTTTTATCCCACAATGTTACATCCGGACCGGTTGTTTTTATCCTTCTGGTTTCTCTTGTGCTAGATTCCTAACTGGTTGACATCTAAATCGTATATGTTTTTGACTCAATGATGCAGGTTGTGCAGACAAATGCGTTATAAATTGTATCGGAGAAAGCGCGGACTACAGGTCGTTGAGCCTGAAGACGATTAGACCTTTGATATTCCAACAATCACACCTGTTATATGCCTCTGTCAAGGGAGGGAGGATAGACTTTGGTCAATTGCCATAATTGTGTATCATGTCATTACTTAACCCATCACCTGACCTTTATTTTCTAGATTAATCAAGGAATGAAGGACCACCTATTTACAATCTAAATCGTATATGTTTTTGCCTCAATGATGCAGGTTGTGCAGACAAATGCGTTATAAATTGTATCGGAGAAAGCGCGGACTACAGGTCGTTGAGCCTGAAGACGATAAGACCTTTGATATTCCAACAATCACACCTGTTATATGCCTCTGTCAAGGGAGGGAGGTTAGACTTTGGTCAATTGCCATAATTGTGTATCATGTCAATACTTAACAAATCACCTGACCTTTATTTTCTAGATTAATCAAGGAATGAAGGACCACATATTTACAATGTCACGCCTTCCTTGAAATTAACAACAGACATAGAGCTAAATTTGCCTTTGACCCCACCCTTTACTTAAGCACCATTTCATCGTATTGTACACTGTTCCTATTTCTTTCACCTTGTTTACCTTAAACGCTTTTTACATGTTAACATCTATTCAACGTCAAACAATAGCTTATGAGTGAATGATCGGCATATTGTGCACAGGGGCGTCCCCCCAAAACAAGGACGCTAGTGCAAGTCCTTGTGTTCATACCTTCTAGCCGTGCAATTACTCTTGCTGCCGAATTTTGTACCTTCTGTAGCTTGTTCAAGAGATATTCTGGAAGCTCTTGGATCAAAGCAGTGCAGTCATCTACTCTAGAGGCTTGGTTAAAAGTTGCTACAGTGGATGTGATAAAAAAAACTTCTTCATGAAACTGATGTTTTTATAATAATTCTGTTTGTATGATACAATAATTATAATAAGCACATTCACATGTGTTATTGATTTGTTTCTCCGAGCTCATTGTAGAGTCAAATTACGACTCCCGGGATACGTTCATCATCACAAGGGCGGATAATGCAGTCATCTATTTCCAGATGTAAGGATGGAACTTTGTGCCTTGTGTGAGAACACAAAATAAGAAATTCCGTCTCATGGTTAAACTCAAGGAAATGTGGAGTCATCCAAATTTTTATTTTGACTATTGCAGTTTGAGATTGCTTCTCAGGAAAGAAATCGAAGATGAAGGATCCAAAGGTAGATCAGAGTGTCATCGGCATACAGAAGGAAACCGAGGTTTGTGATCTGGTGATACATTCACAGAGGTGTCGTGTACATCACAAATGGAATGGTAACTAAAATCGATCATTGCAAAATTGCTGCATCGGCGTGGTTTCTTCTCTTGCGCGTCTTCTCACTGTGCTGATGAAACGACTAACTCTACTCAATATTAGGAGTCGTGGGCGGTAGGATGTTTTTCAAAGATAATCCCTGACGGGTGTACACTTGCCTAGGCATGTTCGATCGATGCATCGCCAGTGACCATTTTCACCTCTTAACACGATTCTTTGCATACAGATATCCATCAAGTAAGATTTGCTGGGCAACTTTCTGGGAATGAATTCTACCTGCCTAAGGCCAGTCATATCTGATATACACTCACCATGCCTTCAATAGACAACACTATAGTCTGAAACTGACTGTAGTCTTAATCCCTATTGTTGTAAGGGTTGTCTCGGTCTGGGGATTTAAAATGAGGACAATACCTTCCCCCAAAGTAAGTGAGTGAGTATGGGTTTACGCCGCTTCTAGCAATATTCCATCAATATCACTGCGGGGGACACCAGACATGTGCTTCACACATTGTACCCATGTCGGGCATCGAACCCGGGTCTTGGGCGTGACGAGCGAACGCTTTAACCACTAGGTTACCCGACCGCCCCTCCCCCAAAGTGAGAACAACTGATATGAGGATACTTATTTTTCTTGTGTTTATATACAGACATCAATGTTTTCTAATATGACTATTAATTACTATTGATAATACTACATCCATGTCCGTTTGAGCTTAAGCCAGGAGAAGACTGAGCTCTTTACTACTCTGATATGTTGTTGTTTTTACAAAAGTTTTTACAAACAAATCGTGTTTATTGTCATAATCAAACTTTCAATGCACGATTAAGAAGATTAACCAGTAGGTTGTTAGACCTGACTTAATCCTTTGTTATATTTTAATAACACTATTTAACATATCATAGTTTCATTATTATACACAAATTATAATAATATACTACCAGATGAGTCGCTAGTCATTTTTCTAAAGGTTGAGTAGAAAAGAGAAGTCATGGTAATGCAATCCAAGGTCTATAATGAGTGGTGGAAAGTATCTGTTATATAATCAACTTCACTTCTTGGTCTGCCCGTTTGGAGTTATGTGTTATGGTAGGAAACCTTCACACCTTTCGCTGCATATGCTTAAGAGACCATTCATGATCAAGTTGATCAACTGTGACATTGTGGATTTATTAGTGTCATTAACATTTTAGTAAGACTTTAGTGCATATATCAGAGGGGGTACGGGTGGCCCAGTCGTCTAAGGCGCAGCGATTCGCTGTGCAGAGTTGGGCACACCAGAAACCTATGGTTGTGGGTTCGAATCCCGGTTCGCCCCGAAAATGTTTCTAGGTTTGTCAGCACCATACCCGTGCTCGTGGGTTTCACCGAAGTGGTAAACGTCTGAGACCTGCATCACTTTGTGCTTTCCTCCCACATTAAGCTGACACGCCGTGATATAACTGGAATACAACCCACTCACTCGCATATATTATATGAGTCTTAGGATCTTATGTTATGTCAGTGTTGAGACAAACAAACGCACAATCGCCTCCAATTATAAACAGCCATATGGCACTTATGGACAAATTACCAATGTGAAATAAGACTACATGCCCAAAAATGCCATGCAAATGAAAGTTATTTTACTACTGCTTTTGTGAAAAACATGATCTAAACCATTTGATGTTTAAACTTTATTTGTTTGCTGTTTAACACTGACGTTTAAGTTTCGTTTGATAAATACAATGATACTAGTTTTGTGTTGGAGGGTGTGAGGTCGGCGGTAAGAGTCAGTGTGTTGGGTTTGACGCCGCTTTTAACAGTATTCCAGTTATATCACGGCGTGTCAGCTTAATGTTGGAGGAAAGCCCGAAGCAGGTCTCAGACGTTTACCACTTCGGTGAAACCAACGGGCACGGGTATGCCGGGATTCGAACCCAGAGTCATATGTTTCTGGCGTGCCCAAGGGACGCAACTCTGCACAGCGAACTGCGGCGCCTTTTACGACTGGGCCAGCCGTGCCCCCCTCAAAGTAGGAAGGCGAACATGCGTCACACCATGTTGAAAACATGACAGAGGTGGGTTGCCTACGAATTCATCTGACATGTTTAGCTACCTTAGTCCCTCTAACTATTGTTTCAATACACCGAGATGACTTTGTACTCATTCAGTCTTTACCCCGATTACTGAAATAAACATGTTATGTCTTTGCGGATATTTGAACAGTGTAGTTTCAATCATTTATAACTCTGCTAATTTTCCAGGAGGAGATTTTTAGGAGATATATACAAGCAATACATACATTGACAACCGTTCATACTCCGTACGATGTGCACCCTCTCCTTGACAAGGACGCAATACAAACACAAAGCTATTGATTTATACAGGAGAATCCTGGTTGACAGAGAGAACTGGTGCTTACAGAGACATGTTATCAAATATTTACCACACAGGGTTTCCCAGGGCCACTATTTTAGAACTATTCCACTACTCATACATGTAAATGAATACCTTTAACATGTTCTCTGATCCGTATCATATTGTGATGAGCTAGTACAATTACCTTTTGCCAAGCACAGGAAAATGTTACCGCCAGAGTCAAAGGAATTATACATAGGCAATGAACACATTTGAAGGGAAAACGAATCAGGTGTCTGGTATAAGAGTGA